TACTTCGGGGACAATGAGAAGCAATTGCAACAATGTTTGCAGAATTGTTTAGGAAAGTTTAATAGTATTCACAGTCAGTGTAATTATATCTCAAATGCAAAAGTAACATTGGTTGGTTTTGTTGTGACTACAGGCATGAGCTCTCAGGCCAACATTTTGTTATTTTGTTGTTGTTGGTGGTCATGGTAGTGATTTTTTAGACAGTGTCTCATTTTGAAAGAAAGCTGACCTCATCATGATTCTCCCTCTTCAATCCCAGGGCTGATTTTACAAACAGGTATCATCACACTGGCTATGATAAAGGTTCTTGAGGGGACTTATCAATATCTCATTCTTCATCAAACCTAAAATCTGTTGAAGATTCTTGAGTGAATCAACTAATAATGTGACATTAATAGTCAATTTTTCATTCTAATTAGAGAACATGGACCCATTATAACACAATGGGGGGATGGGGAAGGGCTAGAGAGGAAAACAAAGCAAGGAAGAAGAGGAACAGAGTCAATGGGTTCTAAGTTTAACTAGAGTTGTAACAGAAGACCTTGGTGAAAAGAAAGAGCTAAGAGAATCAGGGGGAACCCTAGCAGACAAATGGCTAGAGTTAAGGTTATGTGGAACATTCCAGAAATGACAGAAAGTCAGAGATGCTGGCCATCTGGAAACATTTTAGCTTTTACTCTGAGTTATCTAAAAAAACATAAAATGTTTAAACAAAGAAGTGGCATAGAGTCTTGTGCCTGAAACCCAAGCCTCTTCCTGACTCTGTTTCCGTGTGTCAAATGTCAAGCTATTAACTTTTCTATGCTTCAGGTCCCTACCCGATGAAAGAGAAGTGCTGTGTCGAGGTAATCGTCACACGCATGATGTTGAGGTAAGCATTGCACACATGGCCTTGAGGTAGTATTGCATACATGGTGTTGAGGTAATCATTACACATACGGTGTTGTGTAGGTATTTGGTCTGTGGACCTGAAATGGCGGCCACGCCTTTTTGGAAGCAGAAAAAGAGGAGCTTGAGGCGTGACTTTCCTTTGTGCACTCTTTTTGGTAGGTCAGTGGATCCGGTAGGAACAGCAGAGAAATATTTTGGCAGTTCTTTGTATTTTTTCTGTGTAATTGTTCCCCCATAAACACCCATTTATCATTTCTCTTGAGTCTAGTGATATAATTACATCTCGTCTTCAATTGGTGCCCAACATGGGGCTTGGGTAGGTCCCCATGACCACCTCATGGCTGACTGTACAGCCTGAGGCTTTTGCAATTTGCTCTGACTGCTGAGTTGGCTGCAGTTTCTGCAGCCTGTCTGGGGGAAAGCCAGTACTTCTCTGTGCCTTTTGAGTGCCTTGGATTTGCAGGCCTGTGGAAAGTAACCCAAAGCTTTGAGTGGCAGCAGTTTTTCTTCCGCTCAATTTGCCTGCCCAGCTGCAAGGTTCCCTATGAATCAACAATCACCCAGATCTCCACGTTTCAGGAATCTACTTAAGGTAAATTGACTACCCATAGCAATGGCAGATAATATTACATTACAGGAAGTGAAAAACAGTGAAAAACCTTTTGGTTTCTTATATGTATGGGATTCTAGAAGAGGCTTATGACCTACCTGGAAAATATATATTATTCAAGGTAGCAATTAGTTTCATAATCCATATAATATCCTTAAAGAAATGTTATGACAATAAAGCTAAGAATGAGGAACTTACAGAAACCATACAAACTTTACAGACTAATAATGAGAGCTTAGAAAAAAAAGGATTCAGAACACTGAAAATGGTAATGGTGATTTAACAAACAGAATGCAAAATATGGGACATAAAACTGACTAGCTAGCTGGGTGGTGGGGAGGCAGAGGCAAACAGATCTCTGTGAGTTCAAGACCAGTCTGGTCTACAAGAGCTAGTTCTAAGACAGCCTCCAAAACCACAGAAAAACCCTGTCTTGAAAACCCATAAATAAATAAATAAATAAATAAATAAAAACTGACCAGCTAACAGAAAAAAAATTTGTACCATGTCTGAGACTAATGACAATCTAGCAGATAGAACATTGTTTTTCTGGGAGGCAGTTTACATGCTATTCAGATAATCTCTAAGGATAAGAATATTAAATCTTGAGAATCATATATAAATGAAGAGAACAAGAAACTGACTGATTTAATGAAGCCCATAGAAATTTATACTGTCCAGGAGAGATTCAAACACTCAGAGAAACAATGGTCATAGAACAGGCCATAGAACACCTTCAGAATGATACACCAGAAACAAATCACAGAGAATGAAAATGATTTGACATTACCAGTATCTTTTAGAGTCAGGGATGACCTACCTAAGGTTGTTACATCATCCCCTGTGGTTTACCCCATTATGGTCACTGAAAAACCAGCAACTAAAAACACCCAAAAGGATTTGTTGAATGTCATTGGCAGCCAATATGTATGAAAGATTTGAAAGGTATAAAGGAAGCAGTAGCCTCTTATGGCATGAATTCACCATATGTGAGGCAATTAGTAGAGTCATGGGCAACAAGAAATAGGGTGGCACCTAAGGATTGGGGCCAATTAATCTCAGCTGTCCTTGAACTTGCATCTCAAATTGAATGGTGGCCTTTATAGATGAAGAGGCCAAAGCACTTGAACTTCAAGGCCAAAAAGAAAGGTTATAAGGCTTCCCAAGATAAAATTCTTGGTGAGGGTCTTTATGCTGACACAGAGTCTCAAGTTACATATGATGAACACATCTTGTCCCTATGCTGTGAGAAGCTCTAAATGCTTGGGATAAGATTCAAGAACCAGGGGAAAGAATTGAGTCCTATACTAAAGTGTTACAAGACCGGAAGGAGCGTTCTAATGCATTTTTGCAAAGACTGACTAGAGCGGTTCAAATAGGGGTAGCAGATCCAGAAGCTAGGCAAATATTCATAGAATATCTAGCTTATGAGAATGCTAATTCACAATGCAAAAAGGTGCTTTGGCCCTTAAAGATCAGATCAGCACCATTGGATGAATGGATCCTGCACACAGCCAATACTGAGTCTAATGATTATGACACTGAGGCTTAGGTAGGAGAAGCTATCTCCAAAGGTATGACAAGACATCAAAATACAAAATGCTCTAATTGTGGTAGAATAGGACATCTGAGAAGAAATTGTAGACAAGGCATTCCTAGGAATAATGCTTCTTATAGGAATAACTCAAACAGAATGCCCCAACCTTCTGGATTATGCAGAAGATTAAACAAAGGCTGACACTGGACAAATGAATGTAGATTGACCAGGGACAAGCAAGGAAATCCTTTACCATTGGGAAACTCCTTGGGGGGGGGATCTCAAAGTCCCCCATGTTGAAAGTGGTCCAGTCATTCCTAGCCACTGTGGAAGACAATCCTCTCCAAAACAATTAGAAAATCCAATGTCTAATGTAAAAAAATTCTACCACTATGGATTGTAGATTAGCTTTGGATGATGAATCAAACATACATTTGAAAAAGACCCCAAAAGGGGACAATGACTTAAATAGTCCAAGAATATTATTATCTGAAGCAGAAAAGAAATTAGAATGGGTAGAAAAAAAATACTAAAGGCACACGTGGACCCTGTGGATCCAAAGCTAGATTGTATTCTGGTTATATTATCATCTAGGGAATACCATTCAGGGATTTTGATGCAGAGGGAAAATAACTTATTAGAATGGATATTTCTACCACATAAAAAGAAGAAAAAATAAAAAGCCAGGTGTTGGTTGCACACACCTTTAATCCCAGCACTTGGAAGGCAGAGGCAGGTGGATCTCTGTGAGTTCAAGACCAGCCTGGTCTACAAGAGCTAGTTCCAGGACAGTGAAACCCTGTCTTGAAAAACAAAAACAAAACAAAACAAACAAACAAGAATAAAAAATTAAAAACATGCATAGAAAAGACTTCTGATTTGATTTTAAAAAGAAAATTAAGACCTCCTCAACTGACAGGAATGGACACAGCAGAAATCATAGTACCTTTAACTAATGAGGAAATTTCCTCCTTATGGAAAGATAATGAATATTGGCAAAGATCTTGCAGTAACTTTTTGGGAATGACTAGCAACAATTATCCCAAAAGTGAGAGAATAAAATTCATAAAGAAAACCATTTGGATCCTTCCACACATTGTAAGGAAAACACCAACCTCTGGAGTACCTACATTCTACACTGATGCAAACAAATCAGGTTAAGGCAGGATATAAATCAGGAGAAATAAGTAAATTGGTTCAAAGCCCTTATAACTCTGTACAAAAGGCAGAACTGTATGCCATTCTCATGGTACTTATGGATTTTACAGAACCTCTCAAGATAGTTACCTACTCTCAATATGCAGAGAGAGAGTTGTCTTACACATTGAAACTGCTGAATTTATTCCTGATGATACAGAATTAACTTCATTGTTTACAATTACAAGAAATAATCAGGAATAGGACTCATCCTATGTATATAACACACATCAGATCCCATTGCACAAGGCAATGATGAAATTGATTGTTTATTAATATGAAGTATGCTGGAGGCCTCAGAATTTCATAAAAAACACTATGTGAATAGCAAAGGTTTAAAAAAGGATTTTTCCATCACGTGGCAACAAGCTAAGGAAATAGTAAAAAAATGTCCTACTGTTCCTTCTATAATCAAACTCCTTTACCAGCGGGTATAAAACACTAAAGGTATACATAGAAATGAAATTTGGCAAATGGATGTGTTTCACATTGCAGAATTTGGAAAATTAAAATATGTGCACCATACAATAGACACATTTTCAGGATTCAATGGGTAACTGCTCTAAGCTCTGAAAGGGCTAATTCTGTTGTTACATACCTATTAGAGGTAATGACTATTATGGGTATACCTGCACAGATAAAAACTGACAATGCCTTTTCCTCAACTGCCGCCAAGGTGCTCGGTTCTTCCGAGGAAGCTAAGGCCGAGTTGGGGTGAGGCTCTCACTTCATCCGGTGACTAGCACCGTGCCAGCAGTCCGAAACATGGCCTCCGTCTCTGAGCTCGCCTGCATCTACTCAGCACTCATCCTTCACGACGAGGAGGTGAAGGTCATGGAGGATAAGTTCAATGCCCTCTTTAAAGCAGCTGGTGTCAATGTTGAACCTTTCTGGCCTGGCCTGTTTGCAAAGGCCTTGGCCAATGTCAACATTGGGAGCCTCATCTGCAATGTAGGGGCTGGTGGACCTGCTCCAGCAGCTGGAGCTGCACCAGCAGGTGGTCCTGCCCCCTCTACCTCTGCTGCCCCAGCTGAGGAGAAGAAAGTAGAAGCAAAGAAAGAAGAATCTGAGGAGTCTGATGATGACATGGGCTTTGGTCTTTTTGACTAAGCCTCTTGTTAACATGTCCAATAAAAAGATGAACCTTTAGTAAAAACAAACAAACAAAAAAAACCAAACCAAAATAAACAAACAAAAAAACTGACAATGCTCCAGCATATGTCTCCAGTAAATTGAAACAGTTTTTTAATATTTTTTATTAATATTAACAGTTTTTAATATTATAACATAAAGCATGTTACTGCTAAATCACACAATCCTACAGGACAAGCAGTTGTTGAGAGATCTAATCACATTTTAAAGGAAATGCTCTATAAACAGGCAGGAGGAACGAAGACCCCCCCCCCCAAAAAAAAAAAACAGATTACATAATGCTTTACTAACCTTAAACTTCTTTTTTCTTTTTGGTATTTCGAGACAGGGTTTTCTCTGTGGCTTTGGAGGCTGTCCTGGGACTAGCTCCTGTAGACCAGGCTGGTCTCGAACTCACAGAGATCCGCCTGCCTCTGCCTCCTGAGTGCCACCAACGCCCGGCCACCTTAAACTTCTTAATGCTAATGAAAAAATGAAAAAAGCCTCAGAAAGACATTGAACAATAGAAAAAACTTCTGAGCTAAGTTTTTATTTCTGTATTTCAAGGATGTATTGGCCTCAGTGTGGAAACCAGGATATGTGTTACATTGGGGTAGGGGTTTTGCCTTTGTTTCTACAGTAGAAGAAAAGCTTTGGATACCATCAAAGTTGATCAAGGTCCTATTTGAACAGGAGAAACCTCTTGATGAAGGGAAATGATAGGTCATCCACTAAGGTATATCCCAAGAGTTGTAATCAGACCTCACAAAGTAGGGGGAGTGCTTTGTTCTTGTCATTACAGGAAAAGAGAAAGCATCCATCTTCAAGAAGCCAAAAGACATTGGACATATAGGTGCCTAAAAAAGAAAGGATCACTATCCAGAAAGAACCATCAAACAAAGAAGAATCTGACTTATGGTTACAATATCTATTCTTGTTGAAAGCTTTCTATACAGTCTTTATCTTCTTACTTCCCAGTACTCTGCTAGTTCCAATTCATGTAAAACAAATGCTGACTTTGGAGTTGGATTTGGCTTTCCTTCTCTAAATTGAAGCATGTTGTTAAAGTAAAATTCAGAGTTTCTTTCTTATATCAAGAAGCCAATTGGTGTAAGAAAAAAAAACAAAATATAGGGACTACTATTTATCAAAATTCTAACCTCTCTAAAATCCTAATTTCCCCCATACTTATTTTCATCCTTATTGTTGCCTTTCCCAGTATGCATATCTATAATAATTGAACTTTCTGTTTTGACATTAATGTTTAAGTCTTCCACAAGGAACAATAACATTTCCTAACAGCAATCATTGAAGTCTCCAAAAAGGAGATCTCCATTTCATCGATTCAACTTGTTGTCTCTGAACTAGTAATCACCACTCTAAGACTGGTTTAGGACAAATACTGCTATAAACAATTCCAGACTAGCTAGCTGAAATGGTGTACCTTCTTATAGCACTCTGGCCTGAGCTTCAGATAAGAACTCCAGTCAAGCATCTCCTGCCACTCAGACACTAACTACAAATGTTACAGCTCTCGAGAAAGTCCTTTTGAGACTTTCTGTTGCTTTATTATTTTTTTTAAAGGATCTCATAGATTCATCTTCACCCCATTTCAGCAGGAAGTAACTCTAAGAAAAACAATGCCCCCTTTCCCTACAGTTGGTGTAGTGTCTTTTTTTCTCTCATTGCTAAAAAAGGGATAATTATCCCCTACTTAGGGTTGGTTTTAAGTTGTAGGGTTGGATGTGGATGGTGATGGTTAGACTTGGGTATGTCTTATAGAAGTTTAGGGGTATGGATGGGAAGGGTATGGTCAGGATGGGATGTAGGTAGATTATCTAATTTTAGCAACTATTATCTATAGATAAATTGTAAGATTTTTGTATGTTGACTAAGTAGGGTCTTCTTTCTTTTTGTGATGTTTTGCACACATATATAAAACTATCTTTAGGTATATATTTTATATATTGATACAACTTTTATAAAAATATTTCCAAGAATCTATACATGAATTGTTAAAGATAGAAAGTGTACCTAGTAAGCTCCATAATATATATATATATATATGTGTGTGTGTGTATATATATATATATATATATATATATATATATATATATGTTTACATTTTTGAAGTCATTATCCTTTCTAAATTATGTTGGGAAGCTTCAGCCATTGAACAACTATGTTTCTGAGAATTACACATTATAATTACCCATGCTTCTCTTTAATAATAAATTTTATTTAAATTAGAAACAATCTTATTTTACATATCAATCCCAGTTCCCTCTTCCTCCCATCCTCCCATGCGCCCCCACTGCTCCATCCTATACCCCATCCACTCCCCAGGGAGGGCGAGGCCTTCCAAGACGGATCATCAAAATCTGTCAAGTCATTTGGGGCATGGCCTAGGCCCTCCCCTGTGTATCTAGACTAAGAGAGTATCCCTCCATGGGAAATGGGCTCCCAAACTCAATTCCTGCACTAGGGAATCATCTTGGTTCCACTGCCAAGGGCCCCATAGACTGCCCAGTGCTCCTAGCTGACACCCACATTCAGGGGGCCTGGTTTGGTCCTATGTTGGTTCCCCAGCTGTCAGACAGTGGTCCATGAGTCCCACTTGGCCAGGTCAGCTGTTTCTGTGGTTTTTCCCAGCATGGTCTTGGCCCCTTTGTTCATCACTCCTCCATCTCTGAAACTGAATTCCAGAGTTCAGCTCAGTGTTTAGCTGTGGATCTCTGCTTCTGCTTCCATCAGCTACTGGATGAAGGCTCTAGGACAGCATATAAGGTAGTCATCAATTTCATTATAGGGGAATGACATTTAAGATATCCTCTCCACTATTGCTTAGATTGTTGATTGGGGTCAACCTTGTAGATCTCTGGACATTTCCCTAGTGCCAGATTTCTCTTTAAACCTATAATGGCTCTCTATGATGGTATCCCTTTTCTTGCTCTCCTTTATTCCTCCTGCTCTCTCATGTCCTCCTCTCCCCTCCTCTTCTCCCCTTCCCTTTCTTCTAACTCCCTCTTCCCTCTTCCCATGCTCCTCATTAGCTTAGAAGATCTTGTCCCTTTCCCTTTCTCCAGGGGACCATGTATGTCTCTCTTAGGGTCCTCCTTGTTTCCTAGCTTCTCTGTTGGTGTGGATTGTAGGCTGCTACTTCTTTGCTCTAGATCTAAAAATCCATATGTGAGTGAGTAAATACCATGTTTGTCTTTTTATGACTGGGAGCAGTATCTATCTGTTGTCAGATTTCAGTCATCTCTGTCTTAGGTTCCTATCTTACCTGTGTCCCTATCTTACCTGTCAAAAGAGTCACTGTGTCGCCCCCACAGGCTCATGTCTTAGGTCGAAGGGAACACATGTATGCTTATTCGCTCAGCAAAAGGGTAGGTGCCCGTCATTGAGCATGACTGATTCAGATACGCATCACTCACTCAGCAATGGCGAGACAGACACCTATTTGTCTGTCAGCATGGCTAACCATGCTTGAGAGGATTGTCCTGCTTCCACAGCAGCAAAGGCCTGTGTCAACATGGCAGCTTGGGATTTTTGCGACTTCTTGATCCTGCATAGACACCACAGGCAAACAACAATGGCTAACAACATCATGGAAAGCATAAC